CGAATATTTAGGTAAAATATACGATTTCGAATGCAACAATTCCAAAGCTAAAAATTTTCTGCTCAACAAATTACAAGGCATGTTGTCAACGATTTCAAGTCTGGACACCACAGCCCAGTGGAAACTTCAAATTTTACGTCGTTTTGTCCCAGCTCAAGTAGCCTTCAAACTGCGTATTTACGATATATCACTGTCATGGATTGCCAGCAAGTTGGATTCATTGATTAACGATGCCGTTAGAACTTGGCTGGCTTTACCGATAAGCAGCTGTCTATCTGAGATTCTTTCACTACCGTACAAATTGGGAGGTCTGAACATCAGATCCCTGAAACATTATGCTGAATCATTGAGAGTGAAGCTTTGCAACTACCTTAAATCTAACGGTAACGAAGAAATGAAAAGTCTGTGGAGCGAGTCATTTAATGACTACACAAAAATAGACAACTTGCTCCCAGTCACCAAAGATATAAATCCCACTCTCCATGATTTGAAGCTCAAACAGCAAGAAAAGGTGTTCGACCATTTATCATCACTAAGCTCCCAAGGAATAGTGTTGAAGACAGTGAGGGAAAACATCAAATCAGATCAAATAGTTTGCTGGTCAAGGTCTACGGCCACACAGTCAGAGGTTATTTACAAGTTTATTAGGAAAAGTATCATTCAACAACTTCCAACAAACTCCAACCTAGCAAGATGGGGCAAAACGTCTAAACCACAATGTCCACTATGTGACGCTTATCAAACAAACAAGCATGTTTTGTCCAACTGTAGCTCCGTTGCAGCTTTGAAAAGATATTCAGATCGTCACAACAAAGTTCTCTCAATAGTTTTAGAAAATATTAAAAAATGCGCAAGTTTGGAAGTCTCGTCGTTTGCCGATCTGGAGTGTGAAGATTTTCGTCCAGTATCAACGCTGTTTAAATCTCTGCGCCCTGATATAGCACTGGTCCGCGACGACACGATCGAGATTTTAGAACTAACGATATGCCACGAAACAAATTTAAAAAAATCTAAAGAATACAAAATTGAAAAGTACTCTCAAACCCTTCAACTTAATTTAAAGAGTGAATACAATAATTTTAAACTTTTAATTAAAACATTTGAAATTTCTACAATGGGTTTTTACAATACTTTTAATTTATCGCTGGTTAACTTAATTTGGTCGAACGATTTTAGAAACAATTTAATAAACTCTGTTATCATCATCTTACTCAATATATTGCGATAGAAATAATGAATGAACCTTATTTTTATTGACTATAATCCTCTATTTGTACTCATTTTTGTCGAGTGATGAGCAAATTAGACTAACAGCCTATTAATTTAAATACTTTATTATATTAAACATTATTTTATATCTATCTTTATATTCATTTTGTGATATTTGATAAAATAAAAGCAGTGTTCCCATATTAATAATAATAATTATTATTATTATAATTATTTACATCGTAAACAACATCAACAATATCTATAATAACAAATGGAATTGAAGAGGAGATAGCGTTACCTACTCCATCCATCCGTTGCAAAAAAAGGTTTATTTTTAATTTTTTTTTACGTTTCATTTCTCGGAATGAAAATATAAAGTTGCAGGTTTTAAGGGCAAAGCGTAACAAATTAATTTTGTGGTAGAGATGTTTTTTTAATTAATTGCTAATTGAAATGTTGCTGTGCGTTGGTTGGCTAGTTGATCGTTTGATTGATTGGTTGGATGGATAGTTGGTTGTTTGGTTGGTTGGATAGATAGTTGGCTGGTTGATTAGTTGGATGGATAGTTGGTTGTTTGGTTGGTTGGATAGATAGTTGGTTGGTTGATTGGTTGGATGGTTAGCTGGCTGCCTAGTTAGTTAAATGGTTGACAGGCTAGCTGGTAGAATGATTGTCGGGATTACAAATTACACCAAATTTCTATTTAATGACTTGAGAACAGTTGCAAATGTTGGTTGTACTTATTATTGGTAGTAGGAGTTGTTGATTTTGTTGTGGTTTCAATGGTAGTAACAATGGAAGTAGTAGTGGTAGTAGCAACAACGGTAGCAGATGCAGTATTAGTAGTAGTTGCATTATTAGAGTTTATATTAGTAGTAAGTACAAAAAAGCATTTCATCGTTGTAGTGATCTACAATATTTTTGCGCCGTTACGCTTGGAAGATCTGCTGTCACGTGACAAGTTTTCAAACTGCCAAATACGGAAGGAAGTTCTTCTGAAGGGATGGGACAATTATCATGATGAATTCTTTTCTTGGCGTCCGGACTTCAAATGTTTACTGCTGGCTCGTTCATGATATCAGGCATTTGTTACGAAAATATATAAATGATTAGATACACACGCATGCTCACACACACACACACATACATATATATATATATGCTCACACACCCATGCACACCAACACACACATATATACTTACATATACACGCAGACATAAATAAATATATTTACAAATTGTATAAACTATTTGAACTATGCTTATAAATATAATTTTTATTTTTGAC